CTCCCTCCCTCCCTCCCTCCCTCCCTCCCTCCTTCCTTCCTTTCTTTCTTTGTTTCTGTTTCTTGCTTTTTGAGACCAGGTCTCCCTGTAATCCCAGCTGGCTTGGGCCTTGGTATTAGATCAGGCTGGCCTTGATTTCACAGAGATCTGACTGCCCCTGCTTCCCTTGTGCCATGGTTGAAGGTGTGCTTCCAGGCCTGGCTGCCTTTTTCTTTTTGCATTTTAATTGATATTTTTATGATTTCATACAATATAGCTTGATAGTGTTTAGATCCACTCCCCTCTTCCCACCTCCCCCCAAATCCCCCCACCTAATTTAATTAACTCTCATACACACACATGGCCTATAGAGTATGATCTGGTCCCCCCATGTCCTTCAGTGTGGATTCACTGGGTCCACCAAGTGTCCCAACCCTATAAGACACTGTCTTTCCCCCTCCCAGCAGCCATCGATTGCTAAAAGTTCCTTAGGTTGGGTTGGGATTTCTTTTTTTAAATTTTTAATTTATTATTTTTATTTTATGTTTATGAGTGTATTGCCTGTATGTAGGTAAGTGCATCTGTGTCATGCAATGCCTGCGGAGGTCAGAAGAGGCTGTCAGATCCCCTGGAACTGGAGTTACAGACAGTTGTTAGCTGCCGTATAAGTGCTGGGATTCGAACCTGGGTCTTCTGAAAGAACAACCAGTGTTCTTAACCACTGAGCCATCTCTCCAGCCCCTGGGTTGGGATTTCTTACCATTTCCCCATGTCTATGCTGGGATTTTGTCTTGTTTGAGCCCGTACAGGACTTATGCCTGCTGTTGCCATTGCTATGAGTTTATAGGAGTAACTGACCAGCTGTTTGGAAGACTCTGTTTCCTGTGGTCATCCATCTCCTCTGGCTCTTACAATCTTTCCACCTCCTCTTCTACAACAGTCCCTGAATCTTGGAAGGCAGAAGTTTGAAATAGCTGTCCTATTCAGGGATAAGTACTCTGCAGACTCTTGTGCTCTGTACATTGGCTAAATTGTGGGTCTCTGTATTGATCACTGTCTTCTGGGCAGGAGAAACCTCCCTTCAAGTTGTTGGTCAGGGAAGTCCAAGAGATTCCCTGAAATAACAGGCTACTGCCACAGCCCTTGATTGCCAGCCCGAACTTGAAGGTAAGACCCTATCGCTGCAGACAGGCCACACTTCAGACACAGGACTTGGAGCAATCGAGCTGGAACTGACCAGGAAGTCTTCTCCCTGAAGACTAACCCTCATAGTATCAGAGGATACTGTACAAGCTGCCAACGGAGAAAAACTTCTCCTTTTAAAAAATATCTTTAATTAATTCTTTGAGAATTTCATACAATGTATTTTGATCATATTCACTTCCAATTCCTCCTCCTAATGCGCCCCAGATCAACCCCCACCTCTCTACCCCAGCTTAGTGTCCTTTTTTCTAAATAACACATCAGCTCCAATTTGTGCTGTCCCAGTACTTCTGGGTAGGGGGTCATCCACTGGAGGTAGGTCCTTGTCAACCTACCAAGAGCCACACCCTTAAATAAAATTGATTCTCCTTCCCTCAGAATCCATCAGTTATCCACAGCTCCTCAGTTAGGGGTGGGGACCTCTTCTTATTCCATGCCAGAATGTTGACTGGAAACCAGAGCTGCTGTGAATTCCTGAGTGCAGTGGTCCTGTCGTGTCCAGAAGACACTGTTTCACTCTGGTCCTCCCCAGCCTCTGCCTCTTCCAATCTTTCTGCCCCCTCTTCTGAGATGGTTCCTGAGCCTTGGGCTTAAGGGGTGTGATACTGATGTCCCATTTGTGGCTCAGCACTCCACAGGCACTTTGGCCAGGTGTGAGTTTCTGCATTAACCCCCATCCACTGCACAAAGAAACTTCCCCGATCAGGTTTGATAGCCGCACTAATGTACAGGTAGAGAGATCCAAATTTAAAAGGCAGTTTGGTATGATGTCCATTTAGCAAAATAATAGTAATAGGTTTACCCCTGGGGCCTGTGAGCCTCCCAGTCACAGTTTCTTCATCAAATTTGCAGTATATCAGGCATATGTTTCTTTCTGTGGAGTGAACCTTAAATCCAGTCAGAAAGTAGTTGGTCACCACCATTTTGTGGCACTATTGCCCCCCTGGGCCTATCAGGTCCTTATTCCGTTCACAGGCTACACAGCCTGGTAAGACTGTCAATGACTTTTTCCTGCTATTTTCTTGTTTTCCCTTAATAATTCTCATTGTATATAGTACTGAGTTACATAGGAACTTTCTCATGTAAGCATATATTATACTCTGACCATATTCCTCCCATCCCCTCTACTCTACCCTTTCTTCTCTCCCTCCTATCAGCCCCCTTTGTTCCCCTAGATAATTTACTTCTCTTTCATGTAGCAGATGCGTACATGGGTTCCTGCATCTATGTAAAGTCTAAGAACCACAAAGGAGGGAAAACATGCTTGTCTTCCTGACAGTACCTTCATTAGCTTAACATGATTCTCTTTAGTCGCATCTATTTCCCCGTAAATGATGTAACTTAATTCTTCTTTATGAGTTAAAAACTTCCAGTGTGTATACATGCCACATTTTCTTTATCTATTCCTCTGTTGTTGGACAACTAGGTTGGTTCCATAGCTTAGGAGTTGTGAGTAGTGCTGCAGTAAACATTGATGTGAAGTGTCTCTGTGATATGCTGACTTGAGGTCCTTTGTGTAAATACCCAGGAGTGGTATCGTGGGGTCATATGGTAGATCTGTTTTTCTTTTTTTTGAGGAACTTCCCCATGCTGATTTCCATAGTGGTAGGACTAGTTTATATTTCCACCAGCATTTCTTGTTACTTGTTTTCTTAATGATTGCCATTCTGACTAGGGTAAGATGGAATCTCAGTATAGCTTTAATTTGCATTTCTCTGGAGACTAGTGAGGTGAACATTTTTGCATGTGTTTATTAGCCATCTGTGTTTCATTTTTTGAGGACTGTCTGTTCATTTGTCCATTTATTGAATGGATCAGTTGATTTCTTGCTTAGTTTTTTTTAGTTCTTTTTATATTGTAGATATTAATCCTCTGTCAATTGTATAGCTAGAAAAATTTTCCCATTCTGTAGCCTGTCTCTTAACTGTTTCTTTTGCTGTACAGAAGCTTTGTTGATTGTTGACATTATGTCCTGATTGTGGCCAATACTGTATTACCCAAACTTCCTCTTCTCTTCTTGTTGTTTCTTCCCTCTTCCTTCCTTCCTCTCTCCCTCTTCCCTCTTCCTTCCTTCCTCTCTCCCTCTTCCCTCTTCCTTCCTTCTCTCTTCCCCTTCTCCTCCTCTTCCTTCTTCCAGGATCCATCCTAGGTTTGCTGATGGTTCTAAATTCTGTGTCTGAGATGTTAGGTATTTACTTTCCTTTTGTACTTCTGTGTGTTCACATGTGTGCAGGAACATGTGGGTGCATGGGTGCATATGCATGTCTGTGCATGTACATGTGGAGGCCATTGGATAACCTTAACTGTTGTTCCTCAAGTGCCATCCACCTTGTTTTTTGAGACAGCACGCCCCACAAATCTGCCTGTCTCTGCATGTGCTGCCACACTCAGTTTTTTCTTTTTTTAATGGGGGTTCTGGGGATCAAACTTGGGTCCTCATAACTGCAAAGCAAGTGCTTTACTGACCAAGCTATCATTCCAGCCCCCCGTACTTCTTTATAGTCATTTCATTCAGTGTTTTAATACCCTTCTTCAACTGGATAACAAAATTAATATCATGTTCCAGACCCTACCTTGTAAAAGTTCCATAACCTCCCAAACACTGTTACCAACAAGGGACCAAGTGTTCAAATATATGAGCCTTTGGGGGATATTTTACATATAAACCATAGCATTCATAGCATTTAGCATAATGTGATGAGTCTTTGTCATTTTTCTGTTTGATTTTATGATACTTGTCTTTATTCTGTTTCAATTTATGTATTCGTCACAAGGGACAGTGCTTCTTGATCTGTTTATTGTTTATAGATATAGCAAGACTGTAATCAATGATGTGAAAATATTCTAAGCTAAAATCCCACTACAGATGTCAAATATTGACTGCCACTGCCCTTCAGACAGATACACAGATAGTTGACTCTAGGCTGATAAGAGACATGCTGCTTTGAAGGCAAGTCTTGGTCAAGTGACTTAGCTTACTGGCTGACATTACATGCTCCCAATATTGTTGAAAGCATCTACTTATGCCATTTTCCTGAGTTAGTGACTGTGATCATCTTCCTTAGCCCTAGCTGAGGCTCTATTAAAAATTGATAGCTTCTAGGAGAGGGAGAGTCAGTTTTCTTTAGGGGTAGGATGCCTGGTAGAGGTTGACCAGACTCCAAGTGATGGACCCATACCCCAGAGCACTTGGGAAACACAAATCAGATTTGATAGGCCTTTAAAAAGAAAGAAAAACAATAATAGAGGGCATGGAGTTGGGGGAGGGTTAGTAGAGTGAGGGTGGAAAGGGGGGAGGGGATCTGAATATGACCAAGGTACATTGCATAAAATTCTCAAAGAAGCAATAAAACATTGTTTTAAAAATCAGGATATGGGGGGCTAGAAAGCTGGCTCAGTGGTTAAGAGTGCCCATGGCTCTTCCAGGGGAGCCACATTCAGTTCCCAGCATCCACATCCAACAACTCACAGTCCCCCTGTAATTCCAGTTCTAGGGCATTTGATGCCTTCTTCTGGACTCTGTGGCCACTTGCACACCCACAACACACATACAGACAAGCAGGCACACACATAAACACACAAAAATTAAAAAAATATTTTACAGATTCATGATATGGAACTTGGCTCTACTGCTAAAGCTCAGCATTTGCTAGTAGATAAAGGAAGACAGTGGATGGATGCTTACAGATGCTGTCAAAGTTCAGAGCTTCCTAGCATTCCAACGTTGCATATATCACATCCAAAAGGACTTTGAGAAGAAACTGCAGTTTTTTTTTCAGTGCTGAAGACTGAATCCAGAGCCTTGCACATGCTAGGTAAGCACTCTATCACTGAGCCATATCCCTGGCCCTAAAGACATTTCTCATAATAAAAGAGAAAAGGCAGGTTACAGTTCAGGTATTGATAATATACAGAAAGAAAAGGCCCTTAATTTTTCGGAACTTTATAACAGAATAAAGATTAAAAATGAACGCATAGAATTAAGTGTAGTTATCATCAGAACAGCTCAGTTATGCAAAGAAGCTATTTAAATGACGAAGCTAATCGCCAGCCAACAAGAATGAAGTAGCCAATTTTGGAGAGCATGGCCATAAGCTATTACTAGTCCTCCATTTAAGCTATTATCCAAGCTGATTTTTATATTTTGTAGGGCTTTTGTTTTGTTGATTTTCTCTATTTCATGGCTTAAAATTTTCAATTAACATACAAAGTAATAGTTTTCTTTATGGCATTTTCATGCATATGCATACGTGTCATTATACTTTGTTCCAATTCCCCCTCCTCTCCCTCCCTCCCTTGCCCTCCCTACCCCCTCTGGCTGGTTCCTTTCCTTCCCTTTAGATAGCCCTCTTCTGTTTTCACATCTCATGCATCCCATCACCATCTCTTTTCCATCCCTCTCTCAAGACATGTTTCTTCCCCCTCATGATTCCGTTTATTGGTGCTTTTCAAATTTCATTGTTTAGCAGAAGAGCCCTTTTCTTTCTAATTGAAATTTTATAAAACAGCATAGATATGAAGCTGCCATATTTAAAGCAGGAACTTCAGATAAGGTCAGAGCAAAACCTATTAGACCTGTCCTCTTGCCTCTGCAGGACACTGCTGAGAGTCCTCCGAGGAAGCAGTTTTAAAATCATCAGTTTAAATAAGGCTATATTCATCTAGGTGAAATTTACTAAAGGTCACAACCAAAATTGATACGAGAAAGTAAAAACGTATCTTTATTTCTAAAGTCTAGCCCTTCATCCATTATGGCCACTAACCAAAGGCAATAGCTTTTAAATGGTTACTCTCCTGCATAGGAGGTATAACCTAGACTCCCTTGTACCTGGATTCCCTTCTTTCCTGCCTCACACCTTAGCCTGTGGGTCCTACAATTTCTTGGGACTTCAAATGACAAAATTCTGAATTGGAAATACCAGCTACTGCTGTGGACATATGTCCACTGAGGAAAAAAGTGTTTAACTCACCCAGAGCACCAGCACATTCATGAGATGGTCTGTATATGTCCATTTAAAGGTGGATTTTTCCATTGTTCTGCATTGATTTGGTGTCTGGCCCTAAGCAAAACAGGAAGAAATCCAGATCTTAGAATCACTGAATATTCTGAGCCTGAAATTGTGTTCACTTATTCTAACCTCTTATGCAAATTCAGGGAATACAACAATAACTCAGAAAGGAGAACGTGTTCTAAGGATAGGCCCAACTTCCCTCACTAAAGCACATTCGTGCTGATTCCTCCTTCTAATCCCTCGGTGGGTCTCAATTTTCCCACCAGTTAAGTCAGAACAGGAGTCAGAAGATTCTCCCTCATCACCATCAGGTTTATTTAGCTTAGGGAAGGAATTTTCTGGTTTCGAGATGCCTGCTTTCTTTTTAGGAAACCAACTCCAGCTGTATTTGACGTTTCTCACTGGTAATGGAGGCAGGGAAGAGGCAGTGGCAGTGGTTTCTCCTGAGACCCAAGCTGGGGAGCGGAAACTTCTCCGGGGCTGAGAAACAGACACCACGTTTCTTTATGACAGCACAGATAATGAGTCGCGGTAAAGAGTCTTTAATGGACATTGGAACTGAGTTGCAAACTACTAGCTAGATATATGGCTAGTAGTTTGAGAGAAAGCATACGAGAGAAGGAAACTAAATAGCCATTTCTATGGCCTTTTACTGTCTATTATATTTTTGAGACAGGGTCTCCCTGTAGTCCAGCTACCCTGAACTCACTATGTAGATC